ATCATCGTGCTACTTTGCTTTTAGTTATTGTGGTTAATCCCTTACTGAGCCTGGTGTGTATGCTAAAACGTATCACAGGCATGGACATATAGGAAAAAATATAGCATATACAGTGCTTGTTCCTCTCTAGGTTTCAGGCATCCACCGGGGGTTTTGGAATGTATCCCCCCAGGTAAGAGGAGATGACCTGTAATAATTCTCTTCACCCAAAGCTTACTCGTGTTCTGATCAAAGCAACAGTTATGCTGCAGCCCTCCACTCAAGAGACAGAGGCTCGGCAGCTGACCTCTCCTACGATTCTGAGAGCTTACTGACAACTGGTCAACATTTGGCCATGCTTGAAATCTCATATTGCCAGCTTTTTCTTCCTCTAACCCGCTCCTGTACTCACCTCTCTTTCTACCCACATTCAAACCATCCAACTTAATTCTTGGGAAGCTGCATAAATTTCATAGTATATCACATCATGTACTTGTTGAACTGACTCACCCACAAAATTTCAAACATGTGGGCATTTAATTAAAGCTTCTTACTGATGATTTCAACAGAGAAAAATGGACAGGATTCAGTGTCATGTAAACTTTGTAAGAGCATCACCATCTGGTTACAAGAGGTCACAGACTAGACCAGTTCAAGCTGGTCCACACAGGAGGTGGTCAAAAAGTACCGACTCTCCAGACATTTAGCAGAATGTTAACCAAGCTGCTGGTATTTCAGAAACTTCAAGAAGCTCAAGAAGTGACCTATATAATTATGTTTTCAATATTTAAATCATTCCTTATCTCCAAATAATTTTTGAGTCAAAAACACTGCTTTTCCAAAAGAACTTTTCTGCTAAAAGTATCATGTAAGACACCATGAATATGAAGTAAACACTTTCCCCTTATTTACAGATTAAGAAGCACATCTAGGCGAGGCACAGTGGCTCATATCTCAGCACTTTGGGAGGCCAAGGCAGGAGGATCACTTGAGGCCAGAAGTTCAAGACCAGCCTGGGCAACACAGCAAGAACCCATCTCTACAAAAAATAAAAAATAACTGTGTGGTGGCACACACCTGTAGTCCTAGCTACCTGGGAGGCTAAGGTGGGAGGATCGCTTGGGCCCAGGGGTTCAAGGTTACAGTGAACAATGATTGCACCACTGCATTCCAGAGCAACAGAGCAAGACCCTGTCCCTAAAAAAAATAATAATAAAATTTAAAAGCAGCACATCAGTTCTGATTACACACAACCAAGATTAAATCTGTAAAAGGAAAACTCCTTCTGTCCATATTGCCATTCCCTTCTGAGTGTGCTTCAGAAGCTCAGGAAACGAGTTCTGAAAGCAAACTTTTCTTCTTTTCCAGGGAGGACGGGAACGTGGGGCCTCTTGACCTATAAAACTCAGTATTTTGGAACATCCGTAATTCTACCAAGTCTGTGGCAGTCTAATAGACTCCTTTTAGCAAACCACCAGCCAGCCAGGGTTGGAGAGCAAGGCTTTCATCCCTAGGAGTTGACAAGGACAGGACCCAAGAACTCCCTGGGAGGGGGGGAAAAAAAAGCCTCTACTTCAGTTTGCATTACAAACTGCTGGAAAAGACAGATGGAGGTATGACAGGAAAAGCAATTATTTCTTCTGGGCTTCCTTTCTGTCTGGATTCTAAGGAGACGAATACAAAATTCCATCACAGATTGAAATGCTATCTAAACATTCTTGAAAATATGGTTTTGCTCTCTGAAATATGACCTGCTGGGCTGCAGCAACCTGTAACCTATTAACACGGGATGGTGGAGAATGCCGACTGTCCAGCAGGCTGTCTAATTCTGGGTCTGACTCTGCAATACTGCTAGTTTGCAAGAGTCCAGAACCACAGGTTGAAACATAAATAACTACAAGATATACATCTATTATACACAGCATGACCCAACAAAAAATGCCGATGAATCATTCACTATTTTCACATTCTTGAAATTTTAAATATCTAAGACTTCTGTATTTTAAGATTTCTAGTGAGCCATTCCAAATGTAGGCTGAATCACACTGAACAGTAGTGGTGCTATTCCAAATAGTAGTAAGTTGGGACTATTCAGGAAAAAAAAACAAATTTCAAATCACTTTTAAGGAACACCCAGTTGCTGATCAAAATGTTTTTATAATAAAATGTTGTTTATTTATAATTAATAAACAATCTTAAGCAGATAAAACATTCAATACAGTTGAATAAAATGTTGTGGGGTTTTGCTGTTGCTTTTGGAGATGGGGTCTCACTCTGTCACCCGGGTCAGAGTACAGTGGCACCATTTCAGCTCACTGAAGCTTGTACCACCATACCCAGCTTATTCTTTTACCTTTTTGTAGAGACGGGCATCACTATGTTGCCCAGGCTGGTCTCAATCTTCTGACCTCAAGCAATCCTCCCACCTAGGCATCCCAAAGTGTTGGGGTTACAAGCGTGAGCCATTGCACCCAGCTCAGTTGAATGTTATTGCACGTGGACCATGTGTAGTGAAATATAAAGACAACAAAGGCATAGTTCTCACCATCACGGAGCTTATAAACATCAAAGGAATGAGACTTGTTCTTTAGCAAGTCAAGGGAGACCCCAAAAGCCAAATGAAAAGTACAAGAATAGGGCTGTGGGATTTATGAGATAAAAAATATCAAGTGATACTGGAATCCATTTTCTCCTCTGTAAAACGAGGGGAGTGGCCCAGATGAGTTTCTAATCCTTTCTAGTTCAAAATTCTCATTCCTTGGTGCATTCAGACGAGGTAAACAGAAAGTGTCATCAAGAAACTAGTATCTGACCTGGCCCTTGGATGGGTAAGATTTGGAAATGCAGCTGCTGAAAGAAATAGGAGAAAAAGCATTTCAAGCACAAAGCAGTATGGAAGCACAGGCCCAGAGAGCACAGGCATGCTGGTAGAGCATGACATCTTCAGCACAGACAGAACACAATGGACAGGCATGCTGGTACAGCATGACGTCTTCAGTATAGACAGAACACAACGGGAGACAAAACCGGAAATGGAGACCAAAATTTTCAATGCCAAGCAAAGGAATCTGGATTTCTTTCTTTTCTTTTATTTTTTTTGAAACGGGGTCTCAACTGTGATTCCCAGGCTGGAGTGCAATGGTGCAATCATGGCTCACTGCAGCCACGAATTCCTTGATTCCGTTGATCTTCCCGCCTCGGTCTCCTAGTAGCTGGGACTACAGGCACAGACCACCACCATGCCCAGCTAATTTTGTACTTTTTGTAGAGGCAGGGTTTTGTCACATTGCCCAGGCTGGTCTTGAACTCCTGGGATCAAGTGATCTCCCTGCCTCGGCCTCTCAAAGTGTTGGGATTGCAGGCGTGAGCCACCACGCCTGGTCCTGGATTTCATTTGGTAGCCAGAGCTGATGAGGTGTCTGCAGAGGCAGACAACACAATCAAACATCTATCAGGAAACTGAAGCAGCAGAATGCAGCTGGAATGCCTGAGGCTACCCTCTCACTCATTATGACCCCTCTGAAGGTCCCATTAGATGGGGCTCATCTGCCAAAGAAGCCAAGCTTCGCGAAGCGTACCTCAACAGACAAAAACGAGGAAATGAGAACTAAAACCCATGCCAGAGTCCAGAAAACAGGAAGAGTTTCAGGAACCTAATGTGCCTACACAGATTCTGATGATGACAAGAAGGCCAACTCCTTACCAACAGGCCAAAGGAAACTGGCTACCAAATGGAAAGAGACGATAAAGTGGAAAAAGAAAGTGCTTATAACGTAGCAAAAACAGACAGATGGGTAAAACTAAAAATGCAAAAGAGACTACTAACATCTGTAAGCCACTAGCAGAGGAAACAGAAATATCAGAGATCTGGAAATTTCAACAGAGGATTATACCATCCTCCCACTCCAAATGTGGGCAGCATCATGAGTATTTTTAGAAATCAGCTGTCCTAAAAAATGTCCAAGAGGAGAAATAACAGAACTGAAGCGACTGTAAAGGTACGCTCCTGACCTAACTGAATTATCACTGAAAAGGGAGGACTGGACATGCATGGTAAGGGAGGAAAAGACTAGAAAGGCATGAGCAGCGTTTCTATGACAACGGCGATTTCTGAAATACAATGCCTCCACAGAAGAACAGAATCAAGGAAAAAAGAAAATGGTTGACAGATAACATCTGGCCCCTCAATGACTGAAGAATATCTCCTCCCTAAACACTTGCTTCCCTTCAAACAGCCCTCCTTAACTAGATCCAGTAAGACTTACAAAACTTTTTTTTTTTTTTTTTGAGACAGAGTCTCACTCTATCATCCAGGCTGGAGTGCAGTGGTATGATCTTGGCTTACTGTAACCTCCCTGACCCAGGTTCAAGTGACTCTCACGCCTCAGCTTCCCAAGTAGCCGGGATTACAGGAGCGCACAACCACACCCGGCTAATTTTTGTATTTTTAGTAGAGACAGGGTTTTGCCATGTCGGCCAGGCTGGTCTCGAACTCCTGGCCTCAAGTGATCCACCTGCTTCAGCCTCCCAAAGTGCTGGGATTACAGGAGTGAGCCACTGTGTCAGGTCAACTTGGAAAATTTTTAAATGATTCTTAACTGCCTGCTGGCAAAGTGAGGTACAAGGAATCATAACTATGTCGGGTTACTATCTTTTGCAGCCACAATAGTAGTATCTAAATGCCAACAACTTAGCTGACAAATGCAGCAACCTCATTCAGCCACAGACCACAAAATAAAGGAGCTATCTGGCACTAAGGAGAAAGACGAGGAAACTCCAGGGTTCTCATCTGGCCTGCAGGCCCTCTGGCCCCAAGTGAGCTGTGCCACAGTATACGACCCTGGTCCAGTGGACACTAAGTGACAGCACAAGGGCTGCTCTGGGCGCCTGCTTGCCTGTCCTGTCCTGCCGCGTGTGTGTGAAACCATCAATCACAAAGTGCACTGCAAGAAGGCACATCAACATTTTGGTCATCCGGCTGCTGGGAGAATACAGGTAATACGGAGGAATAAGTTACTTACTTGCCGTCCATCCTGCCCCACGTTCGTCTGACCTCTTACAACAGTTCGAATATTGTCATCCAGTCTCCTGGCAAAAAAGTTCAAGGATACAGTCATTCAAATAATCTTTACCCTAGGCTGACCAAAAGAAAAAAAAAAAAACAGAATTTATCCACCAGCTTCTGTAGACTGCACCTAATTGTCCCGAAAACCAAACATGTGTGAGTGATATCAGGGAGGAGGAGGGCAGCAAAAGCAGTGCGGGAAGCCAAGCCTAGCGCAGACGAATGCTTCGGCTTGTTTTTTTTGCAACCTCCACCTCCCGGGTCCAAGCAATTCTCCTGCCTCAGCCTCCCGAGTAGCTGGGACTACAGGCGCCCACCACCACGCCTGGCTAATTTTTTTGTATTTTTAGTAGAGACAGGTTTTCACCATGTTAGCCAGGATAGTCTTAAACTGCTGACCTCGTGATCTGCCCGCCTCGGCCTCCCAAAGTGCTGGGATTACAGGCATGAGCCACCATGTCCAGCCGCTTCGCCTTTTTTTTTTTAAAAAATGGCTTCTTCTTTTTTTTTTTTTTTTTCTTTTTTCCTTTCTTTTGAGATGGAGTTTCGCTCCTGTTACCCAGGCTGGAGTGCAATGGCGCGATCTCAGCTCACCGCAACCTCCGCCTCCTGGGTTCAGGCAATTCTCCTGCCTCAGCCTCCCGAGTAGCTGGGATCACAGGCACACGCCACCATGCCCAGCTAACTTTTTGTATTTTTAGTAGAGACGGGGTTTCACCTTGTTGACCAGGATGGTCTCGATCTCTTGACCTCGTGATCCACCCGCCTCGGCCTCCCAAAGTGCTGGGATTACAGGCTTGAGCCACCGCGCCCGGCCTAAAAATGGCTTCTTTTACTTATTATTCAGAGCTCTCTGAAAGGACTAATAAAACTTGCAGTATTTTTCATGGAGTAAATCAGGAATTACAAAGTTCCTGAGCCTTTACGTGAACACGCCAGAGAACTTAAATTACCTCACACAAAATCCGTTCCTCAGTCCTCATAAGGTAGAAAGAGCCAGGGTGATAGAGGGAATCTTCCCGCTCTGGGCCCTGGTCATGCAATCTATGTCTGAGACAGATCTATGGCTCCCAGCTTCTCTTCCCCCATGGCTCACAATGTTTAATCATGGGCCACCACCAAACCCACCAGCAGACCTGACATTGCTAGCTGTTATGTGACCAAGGGATACACACATAAAGCCATCTTCATCTCTAAGCCTTGGGAATACAAAAACAGGGAAATAAATCCATTGAAAACCTAGAAGGTCGGACGTGGTGGTTCACGTCTGTAAAACCAGTACTTTGGGAGGCCAAGGCAGGCAGATGACTTGAGGCCAGGAGTTCTCAAGACCAGCCTGGCCAACACAATGAAACCCTGTCTCTACTAAAAATACAAAAATCAGCCGGGCATGGTGCTACATGCCTGTAATTCCAGCTACTTGGGTGGCTGAGGCACAAAAATTGCTTGAACCTGGGAGGCGGAGGTTACAGTGAGCCGAGATCATGCCACTGCCCTCTAGCCCGGGTGACAGAGCCCGACTCCATCTCAAAAAAAAAAAAAAAAATCTAGTAGATGTGGGAGACTGAGGCAGGCAGATCACTTGAGCTCAGAAGTTCAAGACCAGCCTAGCCAACAAGGCAAAACCCCATCTCTACAAAAAACACAAAAATTAGCCGGGTATGGTCGTGGACAACTGTAGTCCCAGCTATTCAGGAGGCTGAGGTGGGAGGATCACTTGAGCCCAAGAGTTTGAGGCTACACTGAGCTGTAACTGTACCACTACACTTCAGCCTGGGACACAAAGTGAGACCTTGTTTCAAAAACATGAAGAAAATCTATTAGAAAAGCTTTTGCCTTCTTCTATAATTACAGAAGCTGTTTTGAATAGACTCTGTCACAGCTAGCTTCCTTCCTTCCTTCCTTCCTTCCTTCCTTCCTTCCTTCCTTCCTTCCTTCAGTATGAATAACTGAATGAAGACTGGCCAAAGAATTGAGTTCCTTGCCACAAAGTTCATACAGATAAAAGAATTATACGGCCAAGCGAGGTGGCTCACTCCTGTAATCCCAGCACCTTGGGAGGCCAAGGTGGGTGGATCACCTGAGATCAGGAGTTCGGGACCAGCCTGGCCAACATGATGAAACCCAGTCTCTACTAAAAATACAAAATTTGCCAGGCATGGTGGCTCACGCCTGTAATCCCGGCTACTTGGGTGGCTGAGGCAGGAGAATCACTTGAACCCAGGAGGCTGAGGTTGCAGTGAGCCAAGATCACACCATTGCACTCCAGCCTGGGCAATGAGCAAAACTTCGTCTCAAAAAAACTAAATAAGTAAATATAAATAAAAATTTTTTAAATTATATTACCACCTATGGCAAACTTGAGATTTCAGTGCTCTCACGGAACACTTTTCATCAATTATTAACAGTCATACACGGAACACTTTTCATTAATTATTAACAATCATACAATGTTACTCACCTTATTTTCAGCCTAATTTTGTTCACGACTTCGTCTATGTTTGCCAGAGACTACAATAAAGAAGAAAGAGTACCCAGCTGTTAGTTTACTTCCTGGAATTCCTCTTTCATAGAAAAATAAGCTGCAACCGCTAATTATGAAATCTCAAGAAATGTAATCACATAGTATGACTTTTGCTTTAAAAAAAAAAAAAAAAAGTAAAGCAGTAGTTGGAAGCTACTGCCAAATCCAGACTAGCCCCTATTTTTTGTAAATAAAGTTTTACTGGAAGACAGCCATGCCCATTTCCTTACATATTGTCTATGGCTGCTTTTGAACTACAATGGCAGAGTTAGGTCGTTGTGAAAGGCATCGTATAGGCCGTAAAATATTTACTATCTGGACCTTTAGGGAAAAGTTTGCTGACCCATGGTATGTATGACTGTGACAAATTCATATAATAAAATACACAACAAAAATGAATGAACTATCATAGCACACAACAACAGGGATAAACATTACTAACATAATGGGGCACGAAGAAAGCCAGATGCAAGAGTATATAGGATATGATTTCACTTACATAATAGGAAACCAGGTGAAATTTTTCTCTTGTCTTAGAAGCTGGGACAGTGGTTATCTCCGGGGGAAGGTAGTGACAGTAAAGAGGCAGGAAAGACCTTCAAAGATTTTTCTTTTTTTTTCTTGAGACAAGTCTCGCTCTGTAACCAAGGCTGGAGCACAGTGGTGTGATCTCGGCTCAATGCAACCTCTGCCTCCTGGGTCCCAGTTCAAGCAATTCTCCTGCCTCAGCCTCCGGAGTAGCTGGGATTAAGCAGGCACATGCCACACCACGCCCAGCTAATTTTTATACTTTTAGTAGAGACATGGTTTCACCACGTTGGCCAGGCTAGTCTTGAACTACTGACCTCGTGATCCACGCACCTCAGCCTCCCAAAGTGCTGGGATTACATGCATGAGCCATCGTGCCTGGCCAGATTTTTTTAAATGTTTCATTTCTTGATCTGGGTGGTATTACCGGCTGTATTTATTTTGTGAAAATTCATCTTCATCAAATTGTACACTTAAGATTCGTGTACTCCTCTGTATTATGTTATACTTCAATAAATACACAAATTTATTTTTTAGGATATAGAGCCATTAGAAAAAAGTCTAGAAGGATACATATTAGTTGTAATCTATGAGTAGTTGCAGCATTAGTAGCTATAATCTATCAACTCTGTATTGCACTAAGAAAACGGATTTCAAATTCTTCTTCTTTCTGCCTGTATTTTATAATTATTGACTATGCACTACGACTGTGATTATAATAAAGTTTTTTTTATTATAATGACAATTAAAGGGATCACTTCTGACCTTAGAGATGAGAAAAATGTGAGGAAATGGTGCCCCCTACTGCATGAAAGGAGGCACAATTTTATAGTACCATTTTAATTCAAGTTTTCAAAAGACAATTTAATAAATCGTCTTTCTCTCTCCCTTCTGAAATAAAATAACAAATATTTATTTTATTTGTTTATAAAAAATAACAAATATTTTATTTCAGAAGGAATTGAGGATAGTGCAGGAAATACTCTTATAAAGTGCTCCTGGCTACCTCTGCTGGGAGGAGAAGGCCAGGTGCCTTCCAGGGGCAGATCTGGTAAGAGAAACGGGCCGTGAGTGTTTGAGACGTCCGACTGGGTCGTCACAGCTCATCTTACTGTTCTGACCAAGCCAACAGTTACTCAGAATTTTCAGAAATCCAAGAACAGCTTGAGGTTAAAATGAATCTCAGGCTGGGCGTGATGTCTCATGCCTGTAATCCTAGCACTTTGGGAAGTTAAGGTGGGAGGATCACTTAAATCCAGGAATTCAAGACCGGCCTGGACAAAACTTTGAGACATTATCTCTCCCAAAAAAAAAAAAAAAAATGTTAGCCAGGTACAGTGGCATGTGCCTGTAGTCCCAGGAACTCAGGAGGCTGAGGTGGAAGGATCACTTAAGCCCAGAAGATCGAGGCTGCAGTGAGCCGTGATCGCACCACTGCACTCTCACCTGGACAAAACAGCAAGACCCGAACTCAACAAAACAAACAAACAAACAAAACAAACAAACAAAAAAAAACCATGAATCCCAGAAAAGAGAAATTACTTTAATTGAGGAATCCAATTCAGTTGAACTCAATCTAATCCAATTCTGTCAAGTCTCTTACTTCAAAACAAAAAAAAAACTGGGTATAACATAAATCACCACTGTGTTAATAGTAACTTAGTTGTTCCTGTGTTAACAGTAGCTGAAGTCTGGCCCAACCCTGCCACTTCTAACTTGCTGGAAGGCAAGCTGATGTACTTCTCTGAGTTTCTGTTTCCTCATATGCAAAATGGCATAGTAGCTCCTGCCTTACCTGTCTCTGCTTTAGAGACACTTTAGAAAAAAAAAAAATTTTCTTTTGGTATTAAAAAAAAAAAAAAAACCCATTCAAAAATGTATCAGGAAATCTGGGTGAAGGATAGCCATGAATTTTTTTGTACTATTCTTGTACCTTTTTGGAAAACAGCAGATTATACCAAAAATTTAAAAAAATCTGTATTCAATTTAAAATGGGTAAAACATGTACATGACCAAAAATCTGGATAAAGGAAGGTATGGAGTGAAAAGCGGGGCTTCCTCTCACCCTGTCCTGCCTGTTCCCACAGCTCTCTTTCCCGGAGGCAGTGGCTCTGAGCCACTTTCTTCTCTACCTTCTGGTAGGTAATCTGGGTAGTAAAAGCACAACCAAAGCATTCCATAGCATGCTTTCTTCACTGAACAATGTTAACTTGGAGGTCATCCCACATGAGCAAATACTGATTTTTGGTGGGACAGTAACCATTTCTTAAATGTAATAATCCTCAGACACGAAGGTCTTAAGCCGTAACAATTTTTCTAAGAATAATCTAAAATATTTATGCAGTCAAGAGGCTCAACTGCAATGACAGGGCAAAAACTTGGAGTTGACCTAATTGCCTATCAACAGGAAAGTCAAATAAATCAGGCCATATTTATTTGATAGACCTTTACACCACCACGAGAGACGCTGGTCAGGCAGGCTATGAAATAACAAAGATTGCTTATGATACCATGCTAACAAGAAGTAAGTATTTTTACTATCATTTTATGATAGCAAATATCTTTATAATATCAAATGGCCTATCTTTAAGACAGCAGCTCACTCTGTCACCTAGGCTGGAGTGGAGTGGTGCAATCATAGCTCATTGTAACCTCAAACGCCTAGGCTCAAGCAATCCTCTCACCCCAGTGGCTAGGAACACAGGTACGTACTCATTTTGTTATCTGTGTCTGGCTAATTTTATTATTTTTTTTATAGAGACAGGGTCTTGCTATATTGGCCCAAGCTGATCTTGAATTCCCGGCCTCAAGCAACGCCCCCACTTTGGCCTCCCAAAGCACTGGGATTACAGGTATGAGGCAGCGCACCTGGCTCTATAATATCATTTTCATAATATCATGAATACAGCTATTATAAAGAACGGAGGCCAGGTGTGGAGGCTTACATCTGTCCTTTGGAAGGCTGAGGTGGGTGGACTGCTTGAGCCCAAGAGTTAAGAGACCAATCTGGGCAACATGGTAAAACTCCGTCACTACAAAAAAATAGAAAAATTAGCCAGGTGTGGTGGCACACACCTGTAGTACAAGCTACTCATGAGGCTGAGGTGAGACAATCAATTGAGCCTGGGAGTTCCAGGGTACAGTGAGCTGTGATGGTGCCACTGTACTGCACCCTAGGTGACAGAGTTAGAATCTCAAAAGATAAAAATTAAAAAAAATAAAGAAGAGAAAGAAATATCCTAAAGTTATAATATTTGATTGTTAGGTGGCCCTTGGGTGACTGTTTTCCCTTTATTTCCAGACCTGTTGGGAAGGCAAAAGGGAAAGCATGCTAGCATTTAATGTGGGTCTCTTAGGCAACAATTCTAGCACTTTTCTGAAATTATTTCCCTTAATCCCCTCTGCCATGTGAGGCACACTATTCTCCTGTTCAATGTTAAGATTGGGAAGTATGGCCAGGCACGGTGGCTCACGCCTGAAATCCCAGCACTTTGGGAGGCCGAGGTGGGCAGACCACAAGGTCAGGAGTTCGAGACCAGCCTGACCAAAATGGTGAAACTGTCTCTACTAAAAATACAAAAATTAGCCAGGCGTGGTGGCGCGCACCTGTAATCTCAGCTACTCAGGAGGCTGAGACAGGAGAATTGACGAGAACAGTGGTGTGAGCCAAGATCACACCGCTGCACTCCAGCCTGGGTGACAGTGAGACTCTATCTCAAAAAAAAAAAAAAAAAAAAAAATTGGGAAATACGTAGGCTCACACCTGTAATCCCAACACTTTGGGAGGCCGAAGTGGATGGGTCACCTAAGCCCAGGAGTTTAAGACCAGCCTGGGCAACATGGCAAAACCCTGTCTCTACCAAAAATACAAAAAAATTAGCTGAGTGTGGTGGCGCACACCTGTGGTCCCAGGTACTCGGGAAGCTGAGTCAGGAGGATCACTTGAGCCTGGGGGGCAGAGGTTGCAGTGAGCCGAGATCACACCATTGCACTCCAACCTGGGTGACAGAGTGGGAACCTGTCTCAATTTAAAAAAAAAAAAAACAAAAAAAAACAGACTGGGAAATACTCTGAAAGGACAGGTGCTTTGCCGGAAGCTGCAGAGACAAGTCATTCTTTCTTCTCTATCATCTGCCTCTAACGCAATGGTTCCCGACCTCACTTTCCCGCACCCCAAACACCTGACACCCACTCCCTCACAGCTCAGTGTCTCACTATGGTAGTAATCCTCCCCAGGGTTGAGGGCCAATCCTGGAGTTGGGAAAAGCCCCATGGGAATCCACACTGGCTGGACAGTGGGGTTTATCCCGCTTTGAGAATCACTCATCGGGTTTAGTATAATGTGGTTGTACAGTTTTAGCGATATAATTTTTAAATGTTTTAGTTATTGAAAAATATTTCCTGATTATAATGGTAATTCTTCCCAAGTACAGTGAGTGAGCTGTAACTGAAAATAAGTCATTCGTACATCCAGGAAAGTATGACCACAATCAGAATTCTTGCATATTGCCTTCTACTGTTTTATGAAAATATATTGCTATACGAAAATGAAGTGGGAAAAGTAATTTGGCATCTTTTCTATCATTTTCATTTTTTTAAGACAGGATCTCATTCTGTCGCCCAGGCTGGAGGGCAGTAGCATGATCTCAGCTGACTGCAACTTCTTTTTTTTTTTTTTTTGAGACGGAGTTTCGCTCTTGTTACCCAGGCTGGAGTGCAATGGCGCGATCTCGGCTCACCGCAACCTCCGCCTCCTGGGTTCAGGCAATTCTCCTGCCTCAGCCTCCGGAGTAGCTGGGACTACAGGCGCGCACCACCATGCCCAGCTCATTTTTGTATTTTTAGTAGAGACGGGGTTTCACCTTGTTGACCAGGATGGTCTCGATCTCTTGACCTTGTGATCCACCCGCCTCGGCCTCCCAAAGTGCTGGGATTACAGGCGTGAGCCACCGCGTCCGGCGCTCCTGTACTTAAAGGACCCCGCCCAGGCATCATGCTCTATCCCGGAACCTGCTTGGTGTCACGGCCACCATATCTAACCATTTCTTGTATATTTGTTGATGGATTTATTGTCTTCCTCCCTACACTAGACTCCATGAGACCAGGACAGTATCTGTCATGTTTACATTTCTCCCTGGTTTCTTTCTTTTTTTTTTAATTGCATTTTAGGTTTTGGGGTACATGTGAAGAACATGCAAGGTAGTTACATAGGTACACACGTGGCAGTGTGATTTGCTGCCTTCCTCCCCTTCACCTGTATCTGGCATTTCTCCCCGTGCTATCTCTCCCCAACTCCCCAACCCCCACTGTCCCTCACCTATTCCCCCCAACTGACCCCAGTGTGTGGTGCTCCCCTCCCTGTGTCTATGTGTTCTCATTGTTCAACACCCGCCTATGAGTGAGAACATGCGGTCTTTCATTTTCTGTTCTTGTGTCAGTTTGCTGAGAATGATGTTCTCCAGGTTCATCCATGTCCCTACAAAGGACACGAACTCATTGTTTTTGATTGCTGCATAATATTCCATGGTGTATATGTGCCACATTTTCCCTGTCCAGTCTATCATCGATGGGCATTTGGGTTGATTTCAGGTCTTTGCTATTGTAAACAGTGCTGCAATGAACATTCGTGTGCATGTGTCCTTATAGTAGAACGATTTATAGTCCTTTGGATATATACCCAGTAATGGGATTGCTGGGTCAAATGGAATTTCTATTTCTAGGTCCTTGAGGAATCGCCACACTCTCTTCCACAATGGTTGAAATAATTTACACTCCCACCAACAGTGTAAAAGTGTTCCCATTTCTCCCTGGTTTCTAAAAATAGTACCTGACACTCAGTAGATACTTAATAAATGACTGCTAAGTTTTACTAAATGAATCCGTGAATGAATCCCTCTAAGTTTTACTAAACGAATACATGAATGAATCCCTCAAGCCTGGCAGAGGCCACCTCCACCTCCTCTCCGAAGTGTTGATCTTCCCTGGAAAAACTGGTCTTTCTTTCCTTACCATACTGCCCCATCCTCATGGCATTCACCCGTGTCACCCACCTCTTGAGGGCATGGACTGGATCTTACTCATCTCTGTATCCTCAGCACCTGGCACAGTGACTGAGAACACGGGACAGGCACCTACTGAACAACTGCTGACAGAATACACAAAAACTAAGCGGGACTCTCGCTGCCCTTCTCCCAACTTGGCTACTTCCAATTCAGGTCTACTTCTCACCCAGCACCCAGAAACCAAAGTTGTAAGATAATCCATCTATACAGGCAAATCACCGGACAAAAAATAGTAAAACATAAAGTCTAAAACTTTACACCTTGAGGCTGAGGGTGGTGGCTCACCCTGTAATCCTAGCACTTTGGGAGGCTGAGGCGGGTGAATTACCTGAGGTCAGGAGTTCAAGGCCAGTGTGGCCAACATAGCCAAACCCCGTCTCTACTAAAAATACAAAAATTATCAGGGCATGGTGGCGGGTGCCCGTAATCCCAGCTACTCAGGAGGCTGAGGCAGGAGAATCACCTGAACCCAGGCAGCAGAGGTTGCAGTGAGCTGAGACTGTGCCATTGCACTGCAGTCTGAGCAACAAGAGTGAAACTCCGTCTCAAAAAAATAAATAAATAAAAATAAAAATTAACATCTTGAAATGGAGGTGAAAGTGATTTTATGATTCTGGGCTTATCCTGCCTGCCTCATCCCCTCTCTTCCCCACTACATTAAAAATCCTTTCCACTTTACAACAGATCTGGAGGGACTCTCGCAACATAAGAGCACAGTTATTAATAGTATGCTCACTATACAAAGAATTTCATTCTAACAGTTTAACTCACTGCCTCAGGTGGTGATGATGGAGTTTGATCTGAATTTAACTCTCCCTTGTTTACCAAGGGCCTTTAGATGATCTAGTATAACACACCAAGCATAATACTCAGGATGAGCCAGAAGCCGCTGAAATGAAGAAAACCTGAAACTGTACTTACTTGCTCCGTTGGGAAAAGGGTATTGATGTACTCGACAGCATTGAAATCTGCTCGATCCAGAGGGTCCTGGCTTGGAAATACCTACATAGAAAGAGAGAATTACATATAAAAACATGTTGTATACCATAAATATATATAATTTCGTCAATTAAAAGGAAAATAAAGGGCAGGGCACGATGGCTCATGCCTGTAATCCCAGCACTCTCGGAGGCCAAGGCGGGTGGATCACCTGAGGCCAGGTCTCTACTTAAAATACAAAAATTAGCTGGGCATGGTAGCAGGTACCTATAATCCCAGCTACGCAGGAGAATCACTTGAACCCAGAAGGTGGAGGTTGCAGTGAGCTGAGATCACGCCACTGCACTCTAGTCTGGGTGACAGAGCAAGACTCTATCTCTAAATAAATAAACAATAAATAAATAAATAAATAAATAAATGTATGCATGCATGTATGTATGTATGTCTGGGCAGACCACTCGAGCTCAGGAGTTGGCCTGGGCAACATGGCGAAACCACGTCTTTACAAAAACAATCAGCTGGGCACAATGGCACACGCCTATTGTAGTCCCGGCTACCTGGGAGGCTGAGGTGGGAGAAGCACCAGAGCCTAGGAGGTTGAGGCTGCAGTGAGCCGAGATTGTACCACTGAACTCCAGCCTGGGTGACAGAGTGAGGCCCTGTCTCAAAAAAAAAAGTCCACTTCTGAGAAATACAGCTAACTCCCTAACAACCTGAAGAACATGCAACAAGGTGGATGACACAAGCAGTCAAATGACCCACCGGATACTGGGTCTCACCAGCTCAAGAGAGTTATAACTGTGGGAAGCAACTTCATCTTGAAGAAGCCTTCCAAAGAAATGTAGTGTCAAAGAATCAAAACGTCTTCTAAGACAACTGTGAGAAAAGTTTAAACCTTCTACTACGTCAAGGGGAGGTGGATAAGAAGTGAAGATGTTTTCTTTTTAAAATGCTTGGCATTCCTGTTTCCATAATACACGTATACATGTTATTTACACCATCTCAATGACACGTGCTCACCAGAGGGAATGTATACTCGGTTGAGAGCATGACATGAGAGACATGAACTGTCTATTTCCTCAAGTTGGTCTCAGTTTCTGTATTCCTCTCACCCTGCTTGGTTTTAGTGCTGCCCTAGGTTTTAAAATGTTTGCACGTAACAAGGCCCCTCACAGAAGCCAACTAATTCATTCAGTATTAACTGGAAAAAAGTGTCTGGTTCCTAGAGCATCAAAGAGATGCACACACTGTACTTTTCGGGCAATTTAAAGAACCTCAGGGCACAGTGATTTTCAGCTTAGGCAATGACTCTGGGACTTAAGCTTGAAGTAAAATGTGATTCCACTATAATAGGCCTTCCTCACTCCTCACACTTCGTTACTCTTTACAAGTATGCTACTACAGAATTTCATTCAATCAGACAGCTAAAGAAAAAATTCTGGCACGGCATGGTGGCTCACGCCTATAACCCCAGCACTTTGGGAGCCTAGGGTGGGCGGATCACAAGGTCAGGAGTTCAAGACCAGCCGTTCAAGACACGGTGAAACCCCATCTCTACTAAAAATATTAAAAAATTAGCCGAGCGTGGTGGTGGGCACCTGTAGTCCCAGCTACAGGAAGATGAGGCAAAACTGACTGAACCCAAGAGACAGAGGTTACAGTGAGCTGAGACGGTGCCACTGCACTCCAGCCTGAGACAGAGTGAGACTCTGTCTAAAAAAGAAAAAAAAGGCCGGGTGCGGTGGCTCACGCCTATAATCCCAGCACTTTGGGAGGCCAGGCGGGTGGATCACGAGGTCAAGAGATCAAGACCATCCTGGGCAACAAGGTGAAACCCTGTCTCTACTACAAATACAAAAATTAGCTGGGCACGGTGGTGCGCGCCTGTAGTCCCAGCTACTCGGGAGGCTGAGGCAGGAGAATTGCTTGAACCCAGAAGGCGGAGGTTGCGGTGAGCCGAGATCGTGCCATTGCACTCCAGTCTGGGTAACAACAGCAAAACTCTGTCTCAAAAAAAAAAAAAGAAAAAAAAAAGGAAAAGAAAAAGAAAATTTTGAATTCATCTTGACATAAAGACGTCTGCTTAATAGATAAACCTAAACTATCACTCAAACTTATTCTTGCAAAATAGGAAAAATGTTCAAAAATTCATTGCTATATAATTCATCCATGTAATCAAAAACCACTTGTACCCCAAAAGCTATTGAAATAAACAATGAAAAGAAATAGCAAAAATGTGCTTTTCTGATACCTGTCCGTCAAACAATAACTGACTGCATTGTTCATTTCTTCCATTAGAGCCCACTGGCCCTAAGAGCAACGGAAACAGATGTCTTTTTCTGGCAAAAGGAGGTAAGTGGTGGAGGACTGTGGCCTGAACACTAAAAGCTTTGCCCAGTGGTTTGGCATCGTCAGGCTGTGACAAATGTGTTTGTATAAGTAACTCAACCACTACTAGAAAAGCACACATCCAAAGGTCTGTCAGTGCCCCTGTAGTCCCACTTATTCAGGAGGTTGAGGCAGGAGGATCGCTTGAGCCCCAGGAGTTCCAGCCTGCAGTGAGCTATGATTATGCCACTGCACTCCAGTCTGGGGAAACAGAGCAAAATCCCGTCTTCAAAAAAAAAAAAAAAAAAATTCCATAAATGGGACAATATATAACTTACTATAACGGCAGACCCATGGCAAATATTAATAGTCAACATATGCCAACTACTGGCACTAGCGGAAGTAATGTTTTACTTAGGAAAGCTTCCCAGGGGTCATTAAATAAGACATAATGGAATTGTCCATTTCCTCAATCATAAATCCCTTTCCTAAGTCATAACTCTACAACAATTCCTTTAAGGGAGATTTTCTTATCAGGGGCAATACTCTGCAGTATTTTTTTTTTTTTTTTTGGAGAAGAAGTTTTGCTTTGTTGCCCAGGCTAGAGTCCAACAGCGCGATCTCGGCTCACCACGACCTCCGTCTCCCGGGTTCAAGGAATTCTCCTGCCTCGGCCTCCCGAGTAGCGGGGATTACAGACAGGCACGCGTCACCACACCCGGCTGATTTTTGTATTTTTATCAGAGATGGGGTTTCTCCATGTTCGTCAGGCTGCTCTCGAACTCCTGACCTCAGGTGATCCGCCCTCCTTGGCCTCCCAAAGTGCTGGGACGACAGGCGTGGGTCACCGCGCCCGGCCTACCCTGCAGTATTAGAAATCACTCTCTGGTCGGGCGCGGTGGCCCACGCCTGTAGTCCCAGCTACTCGGGAGGCTGAGGCAGGAGAATTCCTTGAACCCGGGAGGCGGACGTTGCGGTGAGCCGAGGTCGCGCCACTGCACTCCAGCCCGGGCAACAGAGTGAGCCTCCGTCTAAAAAAAAAAGTTCCTGCAGGGAAAAAGAGACCTCTTGGGAGTATTCTCCAAGCTAACCCAAACTACTCAACAGCAGGAATTCTCGACCTTTTAATAGGAACCTGTCATTTTTCAGTATTTTTTCTACGCTCTGCCATCGTACGCTTCCCAATCCCAAGCCCCTCCCGCGGGGCAAGCGGAGACACCGGGCCTCTGCTCAATGAATGAACCCCCGCAATCCGCAGACTCTGAGGCCGCCGTGCACGGCCTGCACCCTTCTAGGTCCGTCCTCTCCGAGCGCGCCACTCCATGACCCCCGCCCCTCGCCACAGACACTGAAGCCTAGAACGCGCCTTTTCCTTCTCATTCAGAAACGCCCTCACCCAGGCCACCTCGCGGCCTTCCCTCAAGCGCCGCCCGAGGGGCGGAACGCTCACCTGCTCGATGGCCAGCTGCACTTCGGGCGTGAGCTGCAGCACGGCTTCCAGCTCCTCCACGAACTCCAGCTCCTCCTCCTCCATCATTCCGCCGCCTAGCCCCTGCGACCCCCGCGGGGCCCCACTCGAGCCCCCGGCCGCCACCCAGCCCCAGCACCGCAATCCTCCCGCGGCGGCGGCGCCCCGGCGAGCCCGGCTCCGTCAGCCGCTCCGGCACTTCCGGGACCGGGGACTTGTGGGATCGCGGCGGACTGAGCCTGGCGGCGTTCCGGTCACGTGCCGGGTCTCTGGGCGGGGGCGGGGTCCGCGTGCTGTCAGCGCGTCCCTAGGATGGCGGGGCCTCTTCCCTCGCCCCGGGCGCGCCGCCCCTGAGGGCCCCGAGGCTGGGGCAGGGCCTGGCCCCCAGCCGGACGCCCGAAGGAAAGCCAGCCCCGCAGCGGCGCGTGTCCCCAGCCTTGGGGGCGACGTGGACCCAGCTGGCAAGTGGCGGCGTTGCCACGGACATTCGCAGGGCGGGACGGCGTCCGCTCAGTGGAGAGAAACTCCCCGTGCGCCAGGCTCTGCGTGGAGGCTTTTCGGGGCCACCGCAGCCTCCTTAGCGGGAGAAACGCCTTTTTTTTTTTTTTTTTTTTTTTTTTTTTTTGAGATGGGGTCTCGCTCTGTCGCCCAGGCTGGAGTGCAGTGGCGCCATCTCGGCTCACTGCAGCCTCCACCTCCCGGGTTCAAGCGATTCTCCTGCCTCAGCCTCCCGAGTAGCTGGGATTACAGGCATGCGCCACCACACCCAGCTAATTTTGTACTTTTAGTAGAGACGGGGTTTCGCCATGCTGGCTAGGATGGTCTTGAACTCCTGACCTCGTGATCCGCCCGCCTCGGCCTCTCAAAGTGCTGGGATTACAGGCGTGAGCCACGGAGCCCGGACTGAAAAGTCTTAAGTCAGGTGGGGCAGCGCCCAGGAGGTGGAGAGGCGTTTCCTGAGGCTGAATATCCGGAATTGCACCACTGAGAAGCTGTGTGATCTGGAACAAATGACTACTACGCGTGGATATGGACAGAATTAAACATTAACAGCGAGATGCAAATTCAAGCTGGTAATACAGGAGATAGTGGGGTGCCCGTCCCTTCCCCCAACAAAGAACAAAGAAGTCAGGTAACCCTTTGGAACCACTTTTCCTGCAAACACTGAAAACAGCGAGGGAATTGCAGCCTAAGGAGGACTCGGTTCACCAGGTGAATCTGGAAACTCCAAGCGCGTTTGCCCCACTCAACTTTTTTTTTTAAATGTTATTAGAGTTACTCACAGTAAAAAATAGAAGCACTATTGTGATATAGCTGGCCTAGAGTTAGAACCTGAAGAATAACATTTTATAGAAGACAAAACTTTTTAAAATAAGTTGTGAAGGCTGCTCCATTCTCACAATGAGTGCTATCCTTGGCTTCTGTAAAACTGCTAGTTTACTTTGCAGAATGCAAACTGCTTACCTTCTCTTATCAGTAACTGCCAGAATTGCTGGCCTTTGTTTACCGGAATAAGCAGCCCAAGATAATTCCGTCCTGGCTCCTACGACTGGTAATAAGTAACTAAAAAATCTGTGGACCCCCACCCCTACCGAGACAATGTGTAAACGAATGCTAACGTAAACTTTTGTGAACCACTTTAAGAATCAAAATGTCAACTAGTTCCTTGGCTCTCGGAATGTCCGGAAACGTCTCACAAACCCCTCACCCTCATCTCCGCACAGAAGGTGATCTGCACAGTCCAGTAGCCCTCGGAATGTCCGGAAGACCCCTCACCCCCATCCCCGCCCCTCACCCTCACCCCGCAGGTAATTTTTACAGGTTTAAAAGGTCTTGTCACCCTCTTTTACAGGGCCACGGGTTGGAGAGACTTGACTCCTCCCTGGTCGCGGGCAATAAACCGTGCAATTTGGCATACTTTTGTCTTAGTGTTGACTTTCAATGCTCAGTACGGTATAATACTATCATTTTTTTCTTTTAATTCACTAATAATTACATGAACAATATAATTTGTAACAACAAAGGAATGGTAAAAAATACAAATGGAAAAAAAGACTATATATTGAGCCTGGCGCGGTGGCACAGGCCTGCAGCCCCAGCTACTCGGGAGGCTGAGGCAGGGAATTATTTACTTTCTGAGACAGAATGCCAGCGGTCTAGGTCTCCCACCGCTCAAGATCCCTTGACCCCAGGAGTTAAGAGGCTGCAGTAAGCTACAATTGCTTTGCGCCACTGCACTCCAGCCTGGGCAACACAGTGAGACTCTGTTTCTTAAATAAACATAGAAAATTATTGACTCATAAAATCATCATTTGGAAAATTAATGACATAAAAAATGTGCACAATATATTTCAAAAAGCAAAATGTATACTTTCATAAAAATGCGCAGCCTAGTCCCCAGCTTTGTGTGTCTGTGGGTGTGTTGTGTGCATTCTGTGCCAATAAAACTGACAGCAAGAAAATAAGACTTTTCAGTCCGGGCTCCGTGGCTCACGCCTGTAATCCCAGCACTTTGAGAGGCCGAGGCGGGCGGATCACGAGGTCAGGAGTTCAAGACCATCCTAGCCAGCATGGCGAAACCCCGTCTCTACTAAAAGTACAAAATTAGCTGGGTGTGGTGGCGCATGCCTGTAATCCCAGCTACTCGGGAGGCTGAGGCAGGAGAATCGCTTGAACCCGGGAGGTGGAGGCTGCAGTGAGCCGAGATGGCGCCACTGCACTCCAGCCTGGGCGACAGAGCGAGACCCCATCTCAAAAAAAAAAAAAAAAAAAAAAAAAAAAAAGGCGTTTCTCCCGCTAAGGAGGCTGCGGTGGCCCCGAAAAGCCTCCACGCAGAGCCTGGCGCACGGGGAGTTTCTCTCCACTGAGCGGACGCCGTCCCGCCCTGCGAATGTCCGTGGCAACGCCGCCACTTGCCAGCTGGGTCCACGTCGCCCCCAAGGCTGGGGACACGCGCCGCTGCGGGGCTGGCTTTCCTTCGGGCGTCCGGCTGGGGGCCAGGCCCTGCCCCAGCCTCGGGGCCCTCAGGGGCGGCGCGCCCGGGGCGAGGGAAGAGGCCCCGCCATCCTAGGGACGCGCTGACAGCACGCGGACCCCGCCCCCGCCCAGAGACCCGGCACGTGACCGGAACGCCGCCAGGCTCAGTCCGCCGCGATCCCACAAGTCCCCGGTCCCGGAAGTGCCGGAGCGGCTGACGGAGCCGGGCTCGCCGGGGCGCCGCCGCCGCGGGAGGATTGCGGTGCTGGGGCTGGGTGGCGGCCGGGGGCTCGAGTGGGGCCCCGCGGGGGTCGCAGGGGCTAGGCGCGGAATGATGGAGGAGGAGGAGCTGGAGTTCGTGGAGGAGCTGGAAGCCGTGCTGCAGCTCACGCCCGAAGTGCAGCTGGCCATCGAGCAGGTGAGCGTTCCGCCCCTCGGGCGGCGCTTGAGGGAAGGCCGCGAGGTGGCCTGGGTGAGGGCGTTTCTGAATGAGAAGGAAAAGGCGCGTTCTAGGCTTCAGTGTCTGTGGCGAGGGGCGGGGGTCATGGAGTGGCGCGCTCGGAGAGGACGGACCTAGAAGGGTGCAGGCCGTGCACGGCGGCCTCAGAGTCTGCGGATTGCGGGGGTTCATTCATTGAGCAGAGGCCCGGTGTCTCCGCTTGCCCCGCGGGAGGGGCTTGGGATTGGGAAGCGTACGATGGCAGAGCGTAGAAAAAATACTGAAAAATGA